TCCTTCTGTGGTACTGCTCGGGTACAGAGCCTGAACGTTAAAGTATTCGTACCTCCGGAGGGCTTCCCCATTGTCATACAGGGGTTCGCTTAGAATACCCCGAATAAAAATGGCTTTGCAGCCTTTTTTTTTTTGTGTGTGTGTGTGAGAGAAATTTCTTTCAAGATGGAAAGCTGCAGGTAGGGGTTTTGTCCTGTTCTTTCCACAGAAGTTCAGAAACGTTTTGGACGACGACAGGCATGTTCCCACAGGAATTTATTATTGGTTTTCCTAAATGTGTAAAAATCAGCAAAGTCGCAATCCAGTGTTACTTGGGTAAGATTTCATGTATTGCGGTAGGTAATATGTACCATGTTAAAATGTGTGTCTGTGCCTATATGTAAATCCTCACAGTAGCATCATATTCTGTAAGTAGCCACTTTTAACAGATTAATAAAGATTTAACTTCACAAAGCAGTTGTCCTTCATGTCCAATGTTTTTCATAAATCAATCAGAAAAAGATGGAAAATCTGCCCCATCTGTACTTGCTTTGTTCGTATAATACCTTGTATTGAGCTTACAGTTAACTGTTCTGTTGCACAGTGATGGCTGTTCTGATTTAATGGACAGGACTACAATACTTACTCCTTTAATTGAATATCGATTTTTATAATTTCATAGGACAGAACTCTCTTAGTCTTACTTTTTTTTTAAATAATGTGAAGGAAAGTGTGAGTTCTAAAACACAAAGGAACGTTACAAGGTCAGAGTATGGAGACAGGAGCATGACCATTAGCAAAGGCTGTGCAAAAGACATGGAAATTGCCATTGTTTGTCCAACATGGAACATGAGGATGGCAGTTGTATTACAGTTCTGCCCCATAGATTAGAGAAAGAATGGATTAGTTAATGCTTTTCAAGTGCTTTGTAGATGAACAGTGATGGAATAAATATCATTACCAATAAAGAATCAGAATTTGTGTTGGTATTTTAAATTTATATCTATTTTTAGTGCGGACCTTAAGGATTGAAAGAAGCATATCTAAAGACCCGGTCAGTTTTGAACTGTGCATTGAAAAAGGTAAGATTCTGAATCTGAAGCAGCGGGGATTTTCTGGGAATAATGTTGATCTTTTCCAGTGAGTCGTTTTAAACCCATGTCTATTTGTTGAGTAGTCAAGTGTGGCTTGATGATCGTTTTATTAGACATTAATATGACAGTCACATTTAAATGAAGTTTATGAATACTGCTGGTCTCTGTTGCAGTTTGGAGATGTAAAATGCCGTATAAGGGCTAAAAGCACGACTTGTGCTCTTACTTTTGTGTTTCAAAAATTAAAAAACAGACTTACATTGTATAATAGAATACCATTTCCTGCATTGGTTGGTTGGTTTTGTTATTTTTTAATGCCTCTTGAGTGACATTTTATAAAACAGTGTAATAAGTGGATATGTAATACACATTGGGATATTGCAAAAAGTATTTGTTCTCTCAAATCACCTTGTAGAAAAAAAAAGCAATTTCTCTGTGCAGTTCATGGTCCTTAAACTCTCTTGAACTTTGCAGTCCAGTGAAAACTTTTGCCAGCATTGCACATTATTCTTCATTATTTGCTTTAAAATATATTTTCTAGATTTGCAGCACGTAGAAGGACAGCTTCAAATGGAAGAATTTCCAGTGAGTATTTACATTGTACATTCAGTAGTGGTTCATGAAATGGGATGTCTAACTGGGGAGAAACCATGAAAAAATAAAGTATGCCTTTGTTTACAATTATTGCTAAATTGACGTTAGATATAGGAATTTGTAGACTATGGTATGAAATTGCACCTGCTTACTGCTCCTAACTATGTGAAAGAGCTCTTCCTGGAAGTGTGGCAATCTTTCCTCCTTCAATTGTTGCCTTTAAGGCTGCAGTATTCAGGAGGAATGGGACTTTTTTGAATTGCTGTCATCTAAAGAAACTCTGAAGCTGGCTAGATGTGTTAAAAGAGCTTGATTTATGTGTAATTTGAAAACAGACACAGAAATACCTAGATCCTTCTGTCTAACAAACTTCTGCAAATGTTGTTTGATAGTTACGTTACTACAGAGAATGCAATAACATTTTTTTTTTCCTACTACAGATTCCTGATTTCCAAGCCACTTACTTGCGTTTCATCATCAAATCTGCCTTTGATCATTTTGTATCAGTGCACCGGGTGATGGCAGAGGGCGCAGCAGAAAACACTTAAGTCCAGCTTAAATTTGTACCTCAATTTTTTTTTATAAACAACTTAGGTTTTGATATCTGTAGTGCAGAGAATATTTTTTATTAAAATGTTGTATTAAAGTATTTTTTGAAGGTATGGATGTAGTATGTATTCCCCACTGGTTTAATGTATGTAATAAAATAGAATAGAATCATTTAGACTCATAGAATCATTTAGGTTGGAAAAGACCTTTGAGACATTCGAGTCCAACCGCAGTGCAGTACTCTTAATTGTAGTAACAGCTGTCTAGTTTTATAAGCTAGACTGTTACCCTAGAACACTTGAAAATAACTGAGTCCATTTAACTTAGTATGTATATATCAGGCTCTCTTAATATATGAATTAAAACTCGATTTCCTGTAAAATGTTTCCCTTGCACTCATGAGTTAAATAGAAAAAAAGAAGTGTGAAATACTTAAATGGAGGTATTACTTCCTACTGTCAAACAAATCTTTCAAAAGTTCTTAAATTGGTAACTTTCTCATCAACTCAAAGATTAATAGGATGAATATAAATGTCTACTAATGCTTGGAAATAATCCAGTGGAAGAGGGACAGGGTGGGGAGGGAAATAATCTGAAGCCATATGAAGTGCTGTGATAGATTTTTAATAATTGCCGATCAATCCCTTGTTTCTATAGATATTTTCTCCAATCAGGTCACAGCCGTCTGGGCTTTATGCTGTGACTGTCATAACAAATACTAATAGAAACAAACGTTGATACAGATTGTCTTATTCAGAAGCCTTTGAGGTCAGTGAAAGTGAACATTTAGGAAATTTGTACATATGCAAGAGAAAGAGAACCTTAATAATGTGAAATCAGTTGTTTTGCACGCCAGTTGACTTCTGCAAATGTCACCACCCCTGAAGTTTATCCTGCACGATATTCCAAATGCAAACACTAGTATCCTGTCCTGACAGCTCAGCGGACCCAACTACGATTCATTGCTGCATGTGGTATAAGCGTAGTAAGATACTACAGTGCAGTAGTTGAGGTTGTAGTGATGAGATTTGAAAACCTCTAGACAAACACATCATGAACCACATTACAGATGCTCTTTAGATGCACATACAGTAGTCTTTTTCTTGTTCTCTCTATTGTTATTTTTGGTTTTTTTCTTATGTCTATGAAAACTTATTCATTGAGCTTTTTTATCCAGATAGCCTTTACTCTGAAGTCCTCTTCTTTTTCTGTTTCAGTTTTTCTAGGATGGCGCGTATTTCCTGAGGGTGATAATTCCAAGGCCCCACTCCTCCCTGCAAAGGCAATAAAATTATACAGCGATGCTCAAGTAGACAAAGCAGAAGTCCTTTAGAGCACAGCAGTTGCACCAGAACTGTGGGCAGGTGTGCTTGGGCTTCCTTTGCGTAGCAGCCATCGCGTGGGAGATGGTGTATGCACAGGTTACACCCTGCCGTGTAACTGGGAGAGGGCCAATGTCTGGATCCTGCAGCGGGAAAGCGTTCCTGGATCTCACAGCTTAGATGTACCTAGGTTTCCTAATGAGCCCAAAGATAAATATTTGAGCAAGACTGAGGTGTACATCAAATATGTACATTATAAAGGCCCAGACTGGTTTTGCTGCAAGTCCTTTTCTCTCCATGGTTACAGTGAATTGTGAAATTTTTAGCCCTCAAACAGAATGAAATATTGTTAAATGCAAAGCATTCTCAAATTATTTTGCAATGTGAAAATCTCAATATATTGTGCTTATTATTATTGATATTTTTTACCTTGTAGATGACCTTCCCTCCTTGAAGTAGATACAGTCGTTCAGGCAATGCAGCATATTTTGAACTGCTCGGGTTTTCCATAGTGTCTAAAACCACCGGACATAAAGGATTATTTTTCTGAAGAAATTGTGCTGCAATTTTTCGATCTTCAAGGCTTCTGTGATTTTTAATAACAATATTGTTTTTAAAAGCCCATCCATCTAAAACAAATGAGAAAAGGATTTAGCAAGGAACATCTTGAATAGGTGTTAAGGGTGGAGATGTACTGGGTGTCATAGCCCAAAAGTGTGTTAAAAGAATACTGCAATTTCCTCCTAACACCAAAACTTGCCATGAAATGAAAGCCCCCCCCTCAGAGTATGAGAGCACTAGAGCTTTTCAAATAAATGGTCCCAAGATCTATTTTTTTTTCTTTAATTTCAGCAAACTGTATTTTCCCCTTGCCCTGGATTTGGAAATATTTGATGTATTTTGGCTGAAATTTTCTCACATAAATCAACCCTAGAAAGATATCAGGTGGGGGACATATAGGCTATTTGGGTAAGGTTTGTCAAAATTATTAACACGGAAGGGATTTTAAAATAGTAAGTAGTGCTGTCAGCTGATACCCGCTCATTTAGCACAGTCGCAACAATAGTACTGTTCATTCTGCTTGCTTCTACTCATTAAGCCTATAAAACAAAATTTCAGATCTGTGAGAAGTGAAACATTTGAGCCAGGGCACACCTTCCTGTTTCAGAAATATGCGAACACACATTTCCACACAACTCTTCGAGTAAAGGAGAAACTAGTAAAAGGTTTTGATGACTGACTGAGTTATTAACTGTTTTTCAACTACTGAAAGTGATGTATTGTTAAGAAAACTTGCAAACTGTAAATGTTACGTTTTAGAAAACCACCTTAACCCTGGGATAAAATCAGTGCCAACGTCTTACTTAGAGCCCAGCGTAGATAAAAGAATGTGTATAGTTTGTTTGCTAAATTTTTCAAATTAGAGTCTGCATCCTGTTCTTGGGACATGTTAAAAATAAATGATTTTTTTTTAAAAACACGTAACATGCTGGCATTGTACACTTAACCTTTGTTCTATGAAACGCCTTTTTTTTTTTTTTTCCCTCGCAAAAGGAGATGTACTAACACTGAGAGGAAATTTTGTAAGGTTAACTATGTGCCTCACCTTCACAGAGATGAGTGTCTT